GACACGTGCGCATGAATTTAGAAGAGATACGAAGACTCGGAAGCTCAAAGCCTCTACTTGAAGGCTGTGCTCCCGTTTTGTGTTCTTACTACCAAGTTCAACACTCGAGCCTAAGTAGCTGTTGAAATTAATTATAATTAATGAAAAGCCCTCTGATAAGTGCTGATTCTTATACTCTGAAGTATACAGTTAGCCTTTGCCATCATATCATATCATATCAAAAACGTTCGCAACTTATAATCACTTTGTATTTTCCAATGTAATTGAAGACACTATCGCACATATATATTAACTATTAACTTATCAATTTGTCGTTATTAATGCAAGCTTCATATATCAATTCTTATCTAAGTACAACTAACAAATAAATGTTTATCAATTAATCTGGGGAGGGACGGTATGAAAAGGATTACAAATTCTACTAAATACGTCTAATATTTAATTAGATACTTTCTGTTTTATAAATTGCAATTTTTTGATTAATTATGATGCTGACATTTGATTTGTTGGGTTATATTATACTTTAAGATATATTTCTTTTTTTAAACCCGTTTCAAGCCGGACTCAGCAATTCTTATTTCTAGTATTTGAAATCGGATTGTCTCGCAATTTGCGCTATAGTCATTATTTATTGACGTCGTTGTCTCGAACTTTATACGATAATACTTACAAATCTTACGTATCCAACTGTCAGATCTATAAAAATAGTATGCTTATTGCGTGCTTCCTCACAGCTGTAAGTCATAATTATCTGTATTTATATTTTCTATACTGTAGAAATATGGATGCGAACATATTATTTTTGGTGCTTAAACTTTTCAACTCGAACAGCTTCTTATCAACACAGCATGAAAAAACAGATGCCTTGAGAAAAACGGCGTGAAAGCGATTTTTGGAGCTCATGATTTACTTCCAAGAACAAAAATCGTAGAGCAAGTGCCGCAATAAGCAAATATAATTGCATTTCAATGTGTTAAAAAAAATATAATAGTGACAATATAAAATATGATTACGAAAACGAGATTTTTTAGCAGATGTCAATAACCGTTGTACGATTTTAAATCTTTCTCGGAGACCTAAACAGATGTAAATATAAACTGAAATAAATTTTGTTGTGTTCAGATTTGCATTTACTCATTAAGTTAAATTTGTTAAACAATAAAAATAAACATTGAAGTACCTTTTCGAGTTCACGTAAGATTTTAAAATACTGAACAGAGTTCAGAAGCAATGTTTCCAAAAGGATTTAATTTTCTCTACTAGTTTGTTTTTAAGTAAAACATTAAAATGAGTTTAGAGGTTTACTCTTATTTATTTTCTAGCAAGTTGTGCTAAGTACAATATTAGTTCAAGTCGTAAAAAAACTATAGACTAAAACGCTTTATTTGTCAGTGCAAAGGCCTAAAAGGAATGATTCACACATTCTGTTGGCTTTAAGCTTTCCGCTGAAACCGTTGCTAAAAGAATCAGACTTGCTTAGTAATAATATATAAACAAAGCAGAAAAACAACAATGCGGACACGTGACTTTCTTTCAGTTTGTATAAAACATTATCATACGCGCCGACTTTTGTTTACAATTTAGTATCACGTTGCTTTTTGTTTTATAACAGATTTAGAAAATACGTAAATTATCGATGCTAATAAATAAGTAAATATTATAGACGCAAAATATTGAAATACTTATTTGAAAGCCACATAAATAATTTGGACTATTTCGCAATTATACAGCTGTTGACATATTTTCTCTATGCCTAAGATATTTCTGCTTTACATTCTATATTTTAGTCTCAACGTTTCCCATAGACAATAGACAATGCGTGGGTGTTGCTGTCTATGTGCCTCCGATGTCTAATGTTTGCCTCATAGAAATACTTTCTTATGAAAGCCTTTTGATCTATTTGTTATACTCTGCTCAGAAAATAAGCAATATATTTAATAAATGTATATAGATATTTATGAATTCGATTTTCAGGATTATAATAAATGTTGTAATTAGCGGTTTCGGATGCATGTAACAGCTTTTTAGGTGCTGTTAACCTTAAGATACACATAATTCAATTTCATTGATTAAAAGTCAATCAAACGTGAACTTATTGCCAGGTGAACTGAGTCAACATGGCTAATGGCAAACAACTATAACTGTATCCGTATCTCAGCTGGTGCAAGTGCAAAATTGTTTTCAAATTGCCTGTGAAAATGACCTGACGTCATTTGGATACTGTTGAACTGCCACAGCCACGCCCAGTCATTCCCATCATTCTCACTCACCTGTGATTTGCATTGTGAGCACGTGAGTTGTTTTAACGGATCATCGTTTTGAGATTTCCCGCCCGCAATTTGTTATTTTCACATTATATAATTTATATTTATATAAAACGAAAGCCAAGTTCATTAAAATGCATTCGCATTTCCTACATGTGAGTTCCCTTATTGTAGGTGAATCGTTAATTACAGTTACTTATCTAATTTACGCTGCGTTTTAATTATTATTTGTTGAGCTGTTTTTCGATTTCGTGCTATTCATAAGGCGCAATATATTGTTGCCATTTAACTAACAGCGTAAGGGGCTTAAACATGTTATCGAAACAAGTTCATATCCATTTACCCAATTGGATCTGTGAAAGAAGATGTGTACAGGTAGAACTGCACGTACATGAGACACATGTTCTGTTCCATTCATTGCCAAGTGTTGCTTATCAGCGTGTTTTACTTTAATAAGAAATCTTGATTAAGACATTTCGAAAATATATAAGGCTTATCAAGCGACAGTGAAACGAAAACCAAATCAACAAATTTTATAACATGTACACGAAAACCCGAAGTACGTGATTCTGTATCAGTTCAGGAAAGTAGAATTTTTTCAATTTAAATACCACAAAAATTAGCTTTGGCTTAACGTGTCGGGCATACGCATATATTACATATGTATTTAAATATATATATACATATCATTAAGTTGGGGAATTTTTTGGTTTCGGAAATATTATTCAACCTGCTTACTGGAATTCTAGTTGGGAGATGCGAGTGGTATTTGCCTAGCTGCGTTTACTTGGTTGATTTTAATAGTGGGAAATATGCGCAGTATTAATTCGAAGAAAACACGTGGATTACACACTTATATCTTATTTGCTTTGATATCAGATTTAGTTTGATTTATAAAATGTCGGGTGATATTTATTTGTCGGATGATATTTATCATTTAAATACATGAAGTTATGAATCAATTTGTTTTTGCATAAGATTAACAACGGGCACGTTCCAATGTCTCGCAAAAATTTAAGCTGAGTTCAGCGATGTTTTCAGCTTGGACCCTAATGCAACGCGTTGTCACTTAATATTGTTCAGTTTCAGACTGCATGTTGCTCTATGGTTACTAATTATTGGTCATCGGTTATGGGAATTTCTCAGAACATATTTTGATTTCCTTATTTTTTAATTTGCTTATTTCAAACAAATACTTTAAGTTTAATGAAATAAATTTTCTTTTAAATGTTTTCTATTTGGTTAACGTAGACGCTGCATAAACGCTACTGTCAACTTGATTAGTCGCTTGTATTTATCGTAATTCTCATTTATCTCTATTTGCAGTAACGGAACAATTGTCTAATCTATTGTTCGGGTTTCGTTGGACACAGCTTGTCAAACTGTGCAAATGCCGGCGAAAACTTACCTAAAAAGAAAGCGAAAACAAACGCGACTTTCCTTTTGTTGTCGTCAGCAGCTTCCAGCAGAAACTTTGAACTTGAGTCGTCCTTTCTGAAGGCTGGGTATGTGGTCCAGCACGCAGTGAAGAACAGTGCACGTAATTATATTAAAATATGCGAAAAAGCACACAAGCACACGCAGCGCAGACAAAATTACAGTTTGCTTTTATTTTGTTTTACTTTTACAAAACAGTTCACTTGCGATTGAAGGAGAACACAAGCAGACACACACACGCAGACCTATGCAATGGACATGGACATGGACATGGATAACGAAATCTGTTCTGGCTGCTGGTCTTTCAGCTCGTCGCCCGTTTTAGTAACCGCGCGCGACGAATTCGCTAAAACAACTGATATCGTTGATATGGCGGGCGTTCGTTGTTGGGTATATAGCTCAGAATTTTACGTTGAGGCGGCAGCGCACAGTGCTACGAACAGTGCACGACGGCAGTCAAAAAGTACAGAGCTTATCTAACATAACATTTGTAGAAACTAACCTAGAACTCATTTTGCATTGCTTTGACTGATTGAATAAAAATATTATAAAATTAAAATTCATTACAAAACTTTAACATTATAAACATATTTTTAAACAAATTTTTGTGTTGTGTAGGACGAAAATTATGTTTATTTTTGCTAAACTTTGCTGTTGTTTACTCTGAATGCTGGGTTTTAACTAATCGAATTAAATGTGAATTGAAAATAGTACATGACGTCAAATGTGAAATGAGGCAGGAATTAAAGTTGCGAAGTTTTCGTCATGCCCTTGCACAGGATGCGTAAATGTGAGCGTGTTTGAATGACTAAACATGTATATGAATATGTGTGTGCGTGTGAGTATGTGTGCAGGGATGCTGTGGCAGACGTTTTGCTTTGCGTGTCCTTGACAAAGGACGCTCTCATATTTCGATAAGGCTTACGCAAGAATCGTCAGCTTCGCACATAATTGTAGAGCAGTTACGAATTTTTGACGAGACAAGGATAAAAGGCATCATTTTAAGGACAAGCAAATTATTATTGCGAATATTTTTATATAAACACCCACGTTGAGCTTGTAATTGACGATTAAAAATATATGTAAGGATATAGTATCTTATGACAGCTATAGAACAAAGTAACCCGATCCGAACATCACTTACACATTTACTGTCTGAAATAGAAAGAGACCATTAAATATCATAAAAACAGCTATAATTTTTTGAGTGAGGATCTTATGTTAGTTTTCCATATTCTGGCCAAGCGATTTGAAAAGTTTTGCTACCAGGTAAATATAGCATAAAATTTATTGGTTCATTATTACATTAAAAGCAATTTTAGCAACATTTGTTTGGTGTCTTTACATAATGTGCATTATGTATTCAGTATATTTGTGTACATATTTGATTTACTCACACATTACATTCTAATTGTTAAAATAATTGAAACGGTAGTTCTTTGTTGTTGTCGTTTTAATAATTGTTTCAGTGTAGCTTAAATTAACTACAAGTTCCTACGTTTAGAAAACTGGTCTCATTTATGTGATTGCAGCAATCACATTTTTGGTTAACATGTCACTTGGCGCTCATTCCTTACCACTAGGCATACAATAGTCGTAACTTAGTTAAAGCCTTAAGTTTTTCTGTTTTTTGTTAACGCCTGTGATTTACTGTGCCTTGGTTGCATTTGCATCCACAGGCTCGTCCGTAAAACCACAGAATGTCCACTTTGACTGCTCAGACTTGAAAAGATTTGTATATTTTGCGAGTATATCCGCTAGGTCATCGTTGCTCTTTAACTCAAGCGACTTGAGCAGCATTCCACGCAAATAGCTGGAAATACTCTCTATGTCCACGCCATGGGGATGCAGAACCAAGTAGGCGGAAGTCAGTGCAATGATTTTGGCTTCAAAAAGTGCCAGCGACATTAGCATGCTCTACAAAAGAGAATCATAAATTAAATGCAATAAATCATTTATGTATATATCTATGCCATGACATCAGCCTTTACCTTTGTACGTGTGGCCAATTGTTCAACGTTTGATTGCACTACAGTTTCCACATTATCAGACTTAACACTTTCATCGGCTTTGGGCAATTGATTGGCTTCATCAATAGTTTTCATTGGCTCCGAAGCTGCTTCTAGTTTCTCATCGTCCTCGATCTCATGAATTTCGACTACACCGCTTTGATGCTCGATAATTCGTACATCATCGTCCACTTTATCAATATCTATTATTTCTAATTCAATTGCAACTTCTTTTTTTGCAGCTGCTCTGAGATCATCCGCATTTCTACTGCACGAGTCACCGCTGCTGTATTCGGGATTTGAAGCAACTGAAGCACTGGTGCTGTATGCTTCCCTGTCTTTTAGCTTATCTGCAGTCTCCTTTATTTTTGTCTTAAGTAGAAGCTGCTTGACGCCCGCCTCTTTGAGATTCCTTTCAAGCTGCTCAATGGTTTTGCAGTCTTTTTGCTCGCGAAGCTTCGTTTGCAACAGCTGTGTCTGCATGTTGCGTATTGTCTCTTGTAACACCTTGATCTGCTTTTCGCGCTGCAGACAGTCACTTCGCTCCACTGACATCTCATTACGAATAGCCTCTAATTGACAACGTAGCGAGTCATTCTCATCCTTAAATAGAAACACAAAATTAAATAATCAAAAATCCATAAAAAAATTAAGTCAATGAGTCCAGCATACTTTCAGTCCATCGCTATCGTAGCGAGTACGTTTGCTGCGCTTCTCGTAGTCGCGCTCGTCATCTGAGATTTCCATTTCATCATCGTCGATTTGGACCGTGCGCAATTCCTGCATGGCATTTCAAAATGATTGTTTTTATCGTTAAATAGTTATAAAATACAGTTTTAACATATTTTGTTGCATAACCAGTGTTTACGATGGTAATTTCTATAGCCTAGATATTATAATTTGTTTGTATATTGAAAATGCATCATACAATTCTCATTTGGCTCTTCGTTCTGTTTCGGTCCGCTTACTTACCTCGCCACATTCAAAAAGTTCTGTTAATTTTAATTGTTTTTATTATGTTGCTGTATACTTATTATTTGTATGTAACATGTTAAATGTTGCACAATGAGTTTTATCATATGTTTAGGTTTTACTGTTTACCAACGCAAACGCACAGCCAATCGAACTCAGTAAGTGCCTTAGAAACTTGCAAAACTTTAGCTATATATGAATTATTTGTGTATCAAATTATTCGCAAATTGAATATATATTACACAAGTTCATTGGCATTCGGCTACAATTAACTTTTAGATTTAATTAGAAATTGAAAGCTTATCGAAATGTTATGCAAATGGTTAGTTAATTTTTCATTGATAAAGAAAGAAATATGGCTATCAATTGTGCCAAATTTAATTATTACAAAGATAATTCGTAAATATGAGAAGCAGATGAAAGTACTTTAAAAACCTGAAAACCGGGAAACTGTTCCATAAAATCATAAAATGTCTATGATTTAATATATTATATTGTACAATGATCCCAATCTAAACATATTTTTTTGATTGCAATTTCAATTATTTACAAAAATAATATATGATTCAAAAAACTAATGATAAATATCTAAAGGGTCTAAATAACAGAATAATAAATATGACGTCAATAAAAATGTTAGCCTTGATTATGAACATATTTTAGAGAAGTTATAGAGAGAGAGAGGTACGAAAAATTTGATCATCAAATTAAGGTGTTAAAAATTTTGAGTTTCAATCGATCAAATTATCAAGAAATTAATTAAAATGAACAATGCAAACAATACCACATGAATGAATACATTTCAAGTTGGAAAGCGACATGATAATATGTACAGAAGCCAACATGCAGAACAGATACAAAAGGGTGATAACAAATATACTAATTGATAATTTAAGACTAGCAATACTGGCAGAACAATAAGAACAGGCACGAGCACCACAAAAAGTATGTGTTTAAAACGATATCTTCATCAGCTGAACTTGCCGTAATACATTCTTTGAACAATTTTGTACGTACCGTCGCTAATTTCTTCCATTGGTCGATGTTTTTTCTTTGGGCTTTGGTGAAATGGTCCCAAACCTTCTTGTGACTAGCGGCATTGAACACTTTTTCAATCTGAGTGACTGAACAATAATGCAATAATATATAATAATATTAAGGGAGGACAGAGGGTAGATATTTTTTTGGGTTTTGTTTGGTTTGATTCTTCACCGTTTAACTAGTCTGTGGTTTCTAATAAAATCAATGGAAAATAATAAGTAGAACAAAACTACTTGAGAGTCCCTCGCATAACATAATATTTTGTATAGAGTATATATAGTACAGTCTAAAAATATTGTACAACAGCTTGTTACCTACATATGTTTATGTATATTTGTATATATTCAAAGACTTCAATTGCAGTTAGTTGTTAGTTGTTTTCTACAGACAGCCAGAAAGGCGGTTGGTGTCTGGTCCGAGGGCTTTATCGTATATGTCTGTTTGGTTTACAAACCTTTGGCCTGGGCTCACACTTTACATATCTATTCATATGTTAAGTCTTCAGACTTTGCGTACAGTCAGATACAGTAGAATGAGTTACTGCACAGTGGCTTAAAAAAACGATGTTGCGTTCAAATTATAATTACTATTGCAGTCCTAGCACTTACTAACAAAGAAACACGTTAAATTATTACGGACTGAGCTTTAAAGGTTTATTTTTTTGGGTTAACTGTAAATAAAGAATTGGATTATGCAAATCTGTTTGACCTGTATTCAAATTCGAAATTAAAGTCGTCAAAACTTTAACGACAGAAACTGGTCATGTTCTGTATCAAGTTATAAAGCACCTTAATTTGATCGCATTGCCATCGAGTTTCGGCCACCATGCAGCACTGATATGACTGAACTTTTACCTGCAGCTGCTGCTTCATCTTTTGCTCCTTCGCCTTGTATTCGGTCTTGTTCTTTGAGAGCAAATTTTAGACAGTGAATTCTTGTATGTGGAATTGGTTTTGTTTTCGCTTTTGATAGTACGATGACTAAATTGCTAAATAGTATGGGTGTGTAAGCGTGTGTGTTCTGTTTAAGTGTGTTTTGTATTCGATTGATTGTTCATGATACAGACGCTAGACGCTAACCGGGGCGCAACAAAAACAGAAAAAAAATTTAAAAGGAGCGCACCTAAAACCCATCTAAAACTACAAACTAAGACTTCCAAAATGCGTCACTTACATTGCGTTGACATGGTGCCCATTTGTTTGCGATAACATTCGCGCGCTTTACGCAGATCTTCTTCAAGCTGCTGCTTATCCGTATGCAAACGCCGCACATGCGCGTGTGTGCTTTGGATCATGGAGTAAAAGACGTTTGCATTGCGCTTGGTGCAGTCGCCACGTTCTAGCCAAGCGGTAATGGTTTGAATGGCCTTCACAAACGTCTCATTATTACGCAGATGTTCCGCCACTGCGGTGGCCTCATGATCCGTATAATGTGGTATTGGTGGCGGTGATTGTGAACGCATGCGGTCCAGCGACATGCGTTCTCGATGACGTTGCTCTCTCTGTAATTGACGCTGCTTACATTCGTAGTCGTATTGATCATCTCGTGCCTGAGCATAGTCCACATGCAGGCGCCCAAAATTGGGAGGTTCATTTTGGCTTGAGATGCGTAGTCGGTAGCCCGATAAGTAAATGGCACGATCTATGGCTGCCTCATGTCGGTAGCGTATATGGCAAAAGTTCTTCTTAGACATGCGTAATGTGGTGATTTCGCCACACGACTCAAATATCTCTCGAATAACGTCTTCAGTAATGTTCTCTGGCAAGCCGCCGACAAACACAGTACGGCAGCCCGGTGGACGTTCGCGTATGGTAGGTGGCGGTGCATTCGGGTTGGGTGGAAACAATATGCAGTTCTTGGTCTTGATCACCTCTTTTAAGCCAGCAGTATTTCCTGTGCCATCTATTGGGAAATTGTAAAAATATATTTGACTACTAACGAATTAGAATATAATTTAATACTTGCCAGCTGTTATAGTACCATCCATACCCGGTCCTGTAACATCAGACGGCATGCCACCAACTGTCGTTGCAGCCACGTAGCCTGCAGCTGCATAGTTATGCTGCATTTGTTGCATTGCCGCCATCATTGCCGAGGGATCAAGCAGCATTTGTGCATTAGCATTCGATGAATTAGCTGATGAACTTGTTGTACCACTAGGTGTAGTCGCTGCTACGGCAGCCGCAGCGCTCTGTGCGGTAGGAAAGTACAAGTAGCCGGGCGGTGTGTGCATCAGACCATTTAAATAAAGTTGCTGTGCGTCAGGCAGAGACAGAGCTGCGCCTGGCAATTTGTCAGATGGTTTCCCAGCTGCCATGTTATCTGTATTTTCTGGGTCGTTATCATTTTCCAAATCCATAGGAACGCTGCCCTGTGCGTTGTGCGGCTTTAATTTACTGCTTTTTTTGTTATTTACTGGAGCGTTTGTTTGTGCTGATGCGCCACTGTTGTTTGCTGCTGTGGGCGTGTGAACGCCAACCGTGCCAGTCGAAATGGCAGCAGCCAATTGATTAATAAAATTTGGATGATTTGGCAAGGTGACGCCATTTGGCATGCTTCCAAAAACTGGCACTATAACGTAAAAGTTAAAAACGTTTTATGTGCCCGGTAGTAGAACAAGCGTATATGAGGAAGGAAAGAAAAAAATACAAATACAAATCAGCTGTTTATCAGACACGAACTAAACAGTGAAGCAAACGACGCAATATGTAGGCACACAACGCGTAACGTGATAGGTGGTTTGGTATTTTTTTCTATTATGTGTTCCGATTTGTGGTCTGATCTCTATTTTAGGTACAACAATTATTTCTGACCATACTTTGAACAATAAACAATTATAAGTTAACTATCTAAGTGTACTTTTATGATAAGCGACATAGATAAGCATTGACTTACACATATTATCAGCCAAATTTGCATAATTAAACGCCATTCGAAAATTGTTTCATATAAACTTCACAAAAAATACCATTTTTAGTATTACAGTAACCATTTAGTTACGCGAATTCCACGTAGTCTGCATTGCAAAAGCATACGTATTGCTTTTCCTATCATTTAATATTAATTTAAAGCAATCGAGATGTGTTATGAAAATAGTTTAACAAAATTTTGACTCCGGCTGCGCCGTGTAGAGGTGTAGCAGTTTTCTTTTATTGACATGCAGGGCTGCTGTAAATAATTTGGTAGCCTAAATGTGGTATTTATTAGGCATTCCAATGCGGCATCGCCGCTGTGTACACACTGTTCATGATTCATCAGCTGTCGTTAATTCGAGAAAGTTTAGATTGAAAACAACAGGAAAACACAACGCAGTTTACACTAAATCTTACAAATCATTGTGTAAATTGTTAAAAAAACTATTAAATATGTCGATCAACACGGCACACGCCAATAATGGTGTGCTGATACATGCTGGGGAGTAGTAAGTAAAAGTGTTATTCCGAATTTTCGACCTGGCTATCAGCGCGGTCTGACGTCATATGAAAGAATTTTTTTATTTTTGTATTTACATTGTTTTGCTATTTTCTAAACGGCACCATATTTATTATCAGAATTACAAAGAAAAAATGCACTTTTGAAATCAATATTATAATTTATAATTTGAATGTAGTATTTAGACATTTGCGATAACTTGGCGAAATTATTCGCCGGAACACGGTTTTTTACGCAGGCTTCTAATGTTGTGGAAAACCCAACAGCTGCATTCAATTACAATAACATTCTGTTAAAAAATAATACGCATAGCTAATCCATATGCTCTCCTTTCCAATAGCATTCTGCTGCACAGCGACAGCGTGTCAATGGAGTTTTCTGGTCAGGATAATAACCTGTTCAAAGGCTCCAAGCAAGGACGAGTTTATTTGACATCTCATAGAATGATTTTCAATAGCAAGAAACCCAGTGATGCAATGCAATCGTTTAGTGCACCTTTTGTAGCTCTTTCGGATGTAAGTATGACTTTTATTTGTCTTTCCAAATCAGTCACTTTAAGTTAAATGCAATTGTATTTAGGTTGAAATTGAACAGCCCGTTTTTGGAGCAAATTACATTAAGGGTAAAGTCCGAGCCCAGCCTAATGGCAATTATGTGGGCGAGGTCAAGTTCAAGCTGTACTTCAAGTCAGGCGGAGCTATTGAGTATGGTCAAGCCTTGTTGCGCGCTGCTAAGACCGCTCAAAGCAACTTTCATCGTGGCGGTCTTGCTGGAGATGATCCGCCACCATATGCACCAGCTGGTGCTTGGCATGAGGCGCCACCACCGGCATACCAGCCACCACCAGGATATTATGGCTGGTTGCCACAACATGATGCCTTCAGTGGACCGGCACCAAACACTGTGTTTATAAGTGACAATCCGCCGCCGTATCCGGGCATTAGTAAGTTTAATTAGTGCAACAGCTTTTTGCTTTCCCATACTCGGCTTTTGTTTATGTACATATAATGCAAGTGCATTTTAATTGGAAAAACAATTGCATGCAAAACAGTTGCACGCTTGTTTTAAATCTAACGCATATTTGCACAATCCATCTCTTTCTGTATCTTTATTAGCACCACCAAACAGTCAACCAGCACCACATCCTCCGCAGCAGCAGGGGCAGCAAACTGATTCCACTTGGTACGGTTTTTCAGCACCACCACCAGATCAGCCGCCTCAGCAGCAGCCTGGCTATGGACCCCAAGGTGGTTGGGGTGGCGGCTATGCACAACCGCCGCCGTACGCAGCCTGTAGGCCGGACATTGCGCCGGGAGCGCCTTATAATGGACAGCCACCCGTAGCTCCCTATGGAGGCTATAATCCAAATATACCTGGCGGTTTTATGCAACCTAATTTTATTCCGCCGCAGCAACCCGGTGGTTATCCTGGTTCTGCGCCACCACAGCAACCCGGTGGTTATCTTGGTTCTGCGACACCACAGCAACCAAGCGCTTACCCGAGCTCTGCTCCCCCTTCGCAGGCTCCAGCAAACAGCTCTGCAGCCTTTTCTGCCGCCAGTGCAGCAGGAAGTAGCACTACAGCTAATTTTATGGGCTTCAGCCTGCCCCCTGGAAGTGAGTATATGACGTAGACTCCCATCATTCATTTTTATTGTTGCCTATACTAATTGATCACGCCTCACAGCATAAATTCGGACTTGGGTCTGAATGAACAACTTGTCAATATCAGCAAAACTTTTTAAATTAAAATTATTCAATGGTTGGTTTTGTTTTTAATATAATAATTTAAAATGTATCAATTACACCTTGAAAATCTTTAATATTTGATTAGGAAACGAAGGCAATCTGTAATTGTTCGTAATGTTCACGATAGATCCTTATCTACCCAACTATTTCTAGAACCCTTATCCCTTCATTTTACAATTATATTTTATATTATTTCGTAATCAACTCGCGGAAATCTAACAAGTTACTAATCTCAAAAACACATTGTCAATTTGGCATCTGAAACAATTTTATTTCTTTACCTATTCCACAGTGTAAACTGCAAATTTTGTGCAAAACTACTTTACCGCAAAGCAAACAAGTAAGATTTCGTATGCTCATTTTCATTTACATATAACTGAATATCAGTTGCTTGCATTTTCCAACAAAAGCCGAGATTGTAGTTTCGCAATTAAAGCTTGGTTTTAGTAACTTGTGTAACGATTTCTTCTTTCTCTTTTGACTCTTCCATGCAAACTTTGCAGGAACCAGCAGCACGCAATATTATTATTATCCCAATTGTTATCCAGTTGCAAGAACTTTGTGTTTTATACCAATACCTGTTATATATCCATAAAAAGGACTGTAAGACATTGCTGTTTTCTTACAAGCTACATTTTCTTTATTTTTAAATATACAAATCAAAATATAAATTTGCAAATAATCTAAACAGATTCCAAAGAAGCTGAGGCCGCTGCTAGCGCTTATAATACACCGTATAATCAAGGAGGCCCCCGTGGACCAGGACCCGACGATATGCCGCCATCATATAATGTGTGTATCCGATATATATTTAACCAGATTAAAATGTAATACAATTTCCTTGTTTTACAGAACTTGCCACCCAGCTACAGTGATGCCTCGAAGAAGCAGTAATTAAACTAGCTTATCAAAATTCAAAAGTGTTATTGAACAGGCCAACAGAAAACTGCTCATTCCGATAAGCTTAACACACAAATGTTTCGTAGTTTTTAACACATCTTTTGGTTGTGGTCTGTTGCTGCATATGAAAAACACAGCATTATATGAGTATTTTAAGCGTTGCTTATAATAGTATACCCTTGATTAAAGAAAAACTAAATTATCGTGCAATGCGATAACAATTAATTCACGTGGCGTATATTTTATTATATTTTTACACGCTTTAAAGTTGCAATATGTATCGAAAACGAATTAAATAATAATGTTTGCTGTTTATATTGTATATTTTTAATAGACACATCTAAAGTCACAAAATTGTTAAAATCATTTTATTTTTATTGTTTATATAATTATTAACAAATATCTGCATAAACGAAAACTATTATTGTTATATACAAGTAATGCAAATAAACATTTTTAATGGAATAATTATATAAAAATATAAAATTTGTTTAAAATTAATTTTTACGCGTGGAGTTCCTTCCGTAATGCATCGCAACTTCATTGAATTCCACTGTTCCAGCAAACTGGGGATTATAAAAGCATTTACGATTAAATAGTTTTCTAAGATGGCAAAGTTTGGTTTCCCGGATTTATCAGAAGCATTTTAAGCTACGTTATTAATGCCCACTAGTCGTAGTCTAAGGTCACAGAATCCCGCAACATTAACGATGACTTGCACAATAGCCAGCGACAAGTGCGGGATATCGTTCAAGTTGCAAACTTCTGCGCCATGTTTTTAATAATACTATTTTACTGGATCTGAAATTCACTTTCAATCATCGTAATTATATTTTAACTTAGCCGATATTTCAAACAGAGCAACGCGCTGTCGCCTTTGCTTTAAGCAGTAGAAAAGAGCCCAAGCTGAATTGTGGGAAAAATATTTGTCTTCTCACTATTTGAAGCACCGACAGAAACAACAGGAAGCTCTGTTTTTTTTAAGTTTTTATTTTTACTTTTGACGTTACTTACAGTGCCAGAGTGGCAGCAACCTGAGATAACACAATTAAATAGATTTGCAAGGTGGTAAGGGGTTGGCTTTCAGATTTATTACGAGCATTAATATAAATATAATCTGTTTATGTCCATCTGCAGTTGTGTCTTAAGGTCGCAGAATCCCGCAACATTAACGATGACTTGCACAATAGCCAGCGACAAGTGCGGGATATCGTTCAAGTTGCAAACTTCTGCACCACGATTTTAATAATACTATTTTGCAGGAGTCGAAATTCACTTCCAATCATTTTCATTGTGTTTTAGCTTAGCTGATAATTAAAACAGATCAACGCGCCGTCGCCTTTGCTTTAAGCAGTGGAAAAGAGCCCAAGCTGAATTGTGGGAAAAATATTTGTCTTCTTACTATTTGAAGCATCGACATATACGGCGGGAAGCTCTGTTATAAGAAAAGTATCTATATTTTAACAGTTGTGGCTTAAGGTCACAGAATCCCGCAACATTAACGATGACTTGCACAATAGCCAGCGACAAGTGCGGGATATCGTTCAAGTTGCGAACTTCTGCACCACTCCGAAGTTCACTCTTAATTATAATAATATATACTAATATATAGCATACTAATACACTCCAATCATTCTAATCATATTTCAGCAATCTGATATATCAAACAGAACAACTCGCCGTCGCCTTTGCTTTGAGTAGTGGAAAAGAGCCCAAGCTGAATTGTGGGAAAAATATTTGTCTTTTTACTATTTCAAGCATCGACATATACGGCGGGAAATTCTGTTATTTCGTAGGAAAATTCTAACATATTTTTATTTGTATTTTTAATTTTCAAGTTTCGATTTAAGTCTGGACTGTCTGCCACAAGTATCCAGAGTGGATGGCAGCAACCAGTCCCCTGACATCACATTTAAATTAATAGTTTTCTAAGGTAGCAAGGGGTTGGCTGTCAGATTTATTAGAATGTAAATTAAACTTTTTATGTCCATTTGCGATTGTATCTTAAGGTCATAGAACCCCCGCAACATTAACGATGACTTGCACAATAGCCAGCGACAAGTGCGGGATATCGTTCAAGTTGCGAACTTCTGTACCACGTTTCCATTAATAGCGTTCACAGCTTCCGATTTATTCTTGATCGAACTAAGTATATTTCAATAATTCTAATCATATTTCAGTAAGCTGACGTTTCCAATCGAACAACGAACCGTCGCCTTTGCTTTGAATAGTGGAAAAGAGCCCAAGCTTAATTGTGGGAAAAATATTTGTCTTTTTACTATTTAAAGCATCGACAGATACGGCGGGAAGCTTTGACACGGGAAAAGTCTCTAAAATATTTACAACCAAGATAGCACTTACAAGTGAGTGGCTTTCTAAGATGGTAAGGGGTTGGCTTCCAGATTTATCAGAATTTTGTTAATTTAACATTTTAATCTCCATTTGCGGTGGTGTCTTAAGGCCACAGAATCCCGCAACATTAACGATGACTTGCACAATAGCCAGCGACAAGTGCGGGATATCGTTCAAGTTGCGAACTTCTGCACCACTCCGAAGTTCACTCTTAATTATAATAATATATACTAATTTATAACATACTAATACACTCCAATAATTCTAATCATATTTCAGCAATCTGATATATCAAACAGAACAACGCGCCGTCGCCTTTGCTTTGAGTAGTGGAAAAGAGCCCAAGCTGAATTGTGGCAAAAATATTTGTCTTCTTACTATTTAAAGCATCGACATATACGGCGGGAAATTCTGTTCCTATATAGAAAGTCTCATCTTTTTTTATTTATTTTTTTTTCATTTTTAAATTGTAAGCTCTTTGCAGTTCAGAGCTTGAATAAGGATTTGGATAGTATGTATACATGGGAGGTATATAAGTGCATAAGTATATTCAGATGTGTATCTGTCTAGCAACCCTTTTAACAGGTAATTTCGTATGTATTCAATTTTCAGGTGGATGCTCAGATGCATTCAAGTCTATATACCAAATGTCAAGGGATGTTTAGATACATACACGTCTATATGCCAATTTTCAAGTGGATACATACAAATCAAAGTCAGACTGTGTAAAATAATTCTAAATGATAATGTCTTTTGGTATATGCTTTGTGTGTTCAACAGATGGAGTTTTCTTACCTGTTAAGTTGCCATGTAATATATTGATTACCAGATTTACCTGTTTTACCAAAATGTCATCTGAATCGTATATATTCTATGTGTCTGCGAATAAAATTTGGATAAATTGGAAATTAGATTTTCGTTTAAATATTCAAATAGAAATTATATTATTTAAAATAAGGGCTAATATATGTGTATGTAAAATTAATAGATATTGTTCAAACAAATTAAAAATATATAAATTTATTATTACAATTGAGATTTGTTTCCACTTAATAAGAAATTTATTTAATAAATTAATTTTATTGTTGCTTTATTCGTTATCAATAGAAGCAAAAGGCAAAGCAGATAATCAAGGTGAATATACAATATAATAAAATAAATCAAAAGAAATAATCAATCAAGGCTCATAAAATATGTATAATATAATAGATAGTTTTCACTGTTATACATACACAAGTCTGGAGGCAGTTTTTCCGTAGTGTTGAGGAGCGATGTTGACCAACCAGTCCGACGACCAAAGGATAAGTGACTGCATGTCGGAGCTGCATGGAAAATCAATCAGACGCCACATACGCAGTGGCCAGTGCGCAGGACGTGGTGAAATGTGGTGAAAGGCCTGCTGGAACCTTTGCTGGCAACGGACGGCGAGTTAGTTGTGCATGCCTTGTGCACACTTGCGGCTTGGTTTAATAAAAAATAGTCAAGAAGAACGCCGATGCGAGGCACCTACCATGAAAACAAGTGTATTTAAGCTCACCAATAATAATATATAAAGTGAACCATGAAGCAATCAAAGTGAAGCAGACCTAAGAACAGATTTGCGTTTGCTACATTCGAATTGCAATCGATTGGCACACTGAGTGCAATTTATTGGAGCAACAACTTGCGCCTGCTGTTTATCGATTTCTGTGGCTGGCTCAGCTTAGTTCTCTTGCAGCCTGAGGAGAGAGCACCCTGTATCAGTGCGTATGACGAACTCTCAGCGTTTGGTATTCCCTTCGCTGCAGGCGTGTCGATTGGAACGCATAAATTATGCAAAAGTCAATTGCATTGCGATACATCTAAATTAAAAAGCAGAAACCCAACAGCAAAGCGACTGCAACAATAGTTGCAAAATACACCAAAGCAACAAACAACAATAGAATGGACGTGGGCGCACAAGAAACCACATACGAACCACTCGAGGGGCGCAGCAGTCGTGGCTCGGCCACTGGCGGGAGGCATCCAACGAGCATCGATAGTCCCGAGTATGATACACGCGCCCCCAAGGACCAGCGGCATGCCGTCTATCTGGCCCTGCTTGCGGCGGGCATAGGATTTGTTTTGCCATACAATAGGTGAGTGCAAAACCAATATGGAAATTAAAATGTGGATGGGAGTGGGAATGGGACTACGAATGTGAATGGGACTGCGAGTATGAATGTGAATGTGAATGTGAATGTGAATGCGAATGAGAACGAGAATGGGACTGAGTAGGCGTTGTGTGAATGCGCCTTACACGGGACAAAGATTGATTACGAGCGATTATCATAGTCAGTCCTGGCATTAACTAAAATTGTTTAGCTCGAAAGTAATTAATTGTGCGATTCTCACTCTGGCATTGGGCTGCCAAATGTTATTGTTGATGTAATTGCTGTTAGCTGTTTTTTATTAGATTTGTTTATTATATAATATTTATATTGGTATTAGTTTTTATTTTTTATTTTATTTTATTTAATAATAAATACAAATTAATGACAAATATTTTCCACATATTTTTCTATTTATCTGCATTTAAGTTTTTCCTTTTTAAAATATATGTAATATATTTTACAAATATATTATAAACAAATACTTTATTTTCAAATAATTTTAATATAATATTAGTTTAATAAAAATATTAAAACACTAGCTTGTCTAGTCTTTACTCGCATCATTTAAATTATCTTTAATCCATTTCTATATTTTTTAGTTTCATAATCGCTGCGGATTATTGGCAGGGCCGCTTTCCGGGGCGTCCGGTGGCTCTGGACATGTCCATGACGTACATCTTTGTGGCCTTCGTCACGGTCTTGTTTAACAACATTGTACTCTCGTTGGCACCATTCCAGACGCGCGTGCTCTTCGGCTACATGGTGTCCTTTACCACATTGATCTTCGTGGCCGTCTGCGAGGTGGCCTGGCACATGTTTGCCACGAATACGGCGTACGTCGTGAACATGTCTGCTGTGGCACTGACAGCCATTGGCTGCACTGTGCAGCAGTCTAGCTTTTATGGATTTGCCTCCATGCTGCCCAAGCAGTACACTCAGGCTGTGATGGCTGGCGAGAGCGTTGCCGGATTTCTGGTGTCTTCCAATCGCGTGGTTACCAAGTTGCTCATCAACAATGATCGCGTCTCGACGGTCATCTTCTTTCTGACCTCCACGCTGTACATTCTCTTCAGTTACCTGCTGCACCTGGCCACCATCAATTCGCCATTTGTGCGCTTTCACGTGGAGGCGTGCTCCAAGATTGTTTTGCGACCGGACGAGGTGAGTGGAAGGGAGCTAAATATATCCCATTTTGAATCTCAATCCTATTTATAAATTCCTTTTTGTAGCAAGAGATCGATGGCGCCACCACCAGCACCAAGTACGGCGTACTCTCCATGGATGGCACCACGACAACCACATCAGCTGGACCCCATCATTCCAATGCGAACACGGCTAATACGTTGAGCTTCAGTAATCCTGTTTACGAGCTGTCGAATCCCACGGCTGGCGAGAGCATCATTGAGGGCTTGGGTCAGATGCCCGAGCTGCCAGCCACACCCCATGAGCCGGCTACACCCACAACGGTCGCCTTCAAGGTGGAGCACGTGATAACGCCACGCCGCTGTCGACCCAGCAAGTTGGGCGACATACGTGAAGGATTCGTAACTCGCTGGCGCGTGGCCCAGGTCATCTATCCGTACATGGTGTGCATTGCCTTGGCCTACTGTGTCACGCTCTCCCTCTACCCCGGCATCGAGGTGGAGGTCAATTCGTGCTCCCTGCGCAGCTGGATGCCTGTGCTGCTGATGTTCTGCTTCAACACTTCGGATGTCATCGGCAAGATACTGGCAGCCAGTCCATATCCCTGGTCGCGTCGTCAACTGATCTTGTTGTCCGGACTGCGCATTGTGCTCGTGCCGATGTTTCTGCTTTGCTGCGCTCCACGCCATCGCCCGATCATCTCTGGAGAGACGGCGCCCTTTCTGTTCACCATTGCGCTGGGCATCAGCAATGGACTGGCAGGCAGCTTGCCGATGATGCTGGCTCCGGCCAAGGTGCCGGGCACCCTCAAAGAGGTCACCGGCAACATAATGACTCTTTCTTATAATATTGGACTCACAGCAGGCTCGCTGATTGGCTACTTGTTCGAGAACATGTTGGGCCCACAGCTGGAGAATCCCTGTCCCATGTATCCATATACGCCGCCCGCCGTAATGCTGGATCACTACCACGGCCATCTGCCTCCGCTGCTGCCCACCACCCCCTCGACATTGACAACGAACACGACGCTTGCCCCACTCTTGCTCAACACCACAATGGCCAGCATTAGCAGCACAGAGACCAGCTCCACCAGCGCTGTGTCCGTGCCCGCCCTGGCCACAGTGATTACCACCACGGCTCTGGCCCTCTACAGCACCGTAGCCAGCACCAGCACCGAGCTGATCAATGCAACGGTTACCACGATGCTCTCGGCGGTCTCCTCGTCGGTGGGGGATATGAGTGGCGAGCTCGGAGGCAGCACAACAGATCCACAAACGCCCGAGGCACTCCTGCAGGAGATCTAAGCTAGACCCCAGTGAAAAAATTTGTTTGTGCAGACTTAAAAGTATCTAGAAGATATATTTTAAATAGCCCCTTGGATCTCAGACGATCTTTAAACGATATGACCGATAAATACAAATTTATATATGTATATATACATGAGTATATATATATATATATATATAAATATAAATATATATATATATATATATATATATATATATATATATATATATATATATACCTATAAATGCATATACGAGTGAGGTCAGCAAGATAGAAAAATATGAATTATTTATGCTAGGTTGAAAACTTTTCAGACTACCTTCGTATATATGCGTTGAAAGTGGGAACGAAAAGAGTTAAGTCCCGCGATTAAGCTCTACTTTTATAGCGAAGCTCTCGCTTCATCAGATCGTAAAACCTATATAAAATAGAAAGCCTATCAAACTATCTTCTGTACTTGTCGCAAATGCTCGTACTGCAAATATTTACAAACTTTAATAATTTGTTAACATATACTCCAATTAAGTGCTCTAATATATTCAAGTTCATTTCGAGTTAGGTAAGAAAGCACAGTTAGCTAAGCGAATTCTATATGTGTGTCTGTCTCTCTGTGTGTGTGTGTGTGTGTGTCTGTCTATGTGTGTACATATATATGTTCATATATATACATATATGTGTGTGAATTAGGTTACGGATAAACCCGGATAATACGAAAAAATGCATATTGTTGGTTACAGATAACGAATATTTTTATAAAGGACACTAGACATAATTGTTGTGAGGTCTATATACATAATATATACTATATGTATGCATATATACTTATATATATGGTATTTATTAATCAGTTATTGGCGGTGCACTGCACGAGCGCATTTTACCTCAACAACTCAGCAGTTTGGATTTGGTTTGCTTATTAATTTGATGATTGATGATTGATGGTTGATGCTTGATGGTTGAATAGTCAATGTTATCTCTTTGCAAGTGCTACTTAGATTTAAGAACACTCTAAACAGAAGTCAGAAACCAAAAAAACACTTCAACTTTGCAGATAGTTATAGAGAATCCGTTCCAAAATAGTAACAAATTTCTGTGCGTATAAATATACATATGTATATATAAATGTATATGTATATGTATGTGTATGTGTGTTAATATTGATGTGTATATAAGTATATTCTTTTGTGTTGCGATTCTATTTCAAATTGAAGTGAAATTATCAATAATAAATATTTTAGCCAAATTTTTAGCAACAATATTTTGACTATAATAAAGTGCGTTTACCTGTAAGAATTACAATGCATATGTATGTTAAAAAGAAATTTAACAGAATTTCAGATATAGAAGAAAAATAAAATTATTTAAAAAAAAAGCGAAATTTTATATATTTTTCTTTAATTTTAATTAATTTTATTAATAATATATTATTAGCATTCACAATAAAAATGTGTATATTATTATATAAAAGTATTTAATTTTTTTGGGATGGCCTTAGGCAAGCCACGGCTAATGCATAGTGGGCGTGAACTAAGGGAAATAATTACTGGCGAGAATTCCCTAAAATTTAATTTTCCCTTTATTATAAGTACAAAAAAATGACAATAGAGCTTTTCGTGTGACTATAAAACAATGTCGCCATCTTGTGTATAATTCAAATAATTTGATTTTCAATGTGTCGCCATCTTTTAAGATATTTTATTCAAAAAGTGGCTATAAATCCCTTGGCAATAATTTGTCTTATATTCGAAGGGGCATAATGGTATTTGTGCTTTATTTACTCTTATGGAACATATTTGTAAATGAATTAAACATCCCTCTTTTATGCTGAGGGGTGTGAATTCAGGATTTTTTGTCCTTATGCTTGTGCGTTAGAGGAGAAAGGGAAATATGCTATTATTATAAGACATTGGCGCGTAAATTTAAATTTGTTGATGTTGATTACAATTAAAATATTTAACATGGTATTCTATTTTAATAAATTTCTGTATTAAAGCTGAAAAATAATGTAGTGAATAAATGTATATATAATTGAATCTGCATTTTGATTTTTTTTTTATTAAATAACGATTTATCGTATTTTTATTTAAATATGAAATATTTGAATTTGCGTGGAATTGAGCAATTGTCTCATTTTGCATATAAATGTAAAATATTTACGTGTAATTGGAGTTTTGATTTCATTACAAACGTATTGCAGGTGCGCGCCAGGCCAGGTGCCCGCATAAATTGGCTGTTTGTCTGGCTGCAAATGAATACAAATGAAATAAATTAGGCAGCATCCAGGCCGAGCCTAAGTCGAGGCGGATGCGAGTGGAGTCGCGTCAACTTGCGCCCCAAGCAAATTGAAGTACTGTGTAGGTAAGCTGACGTCCTGTGCCCAGGCAGGGGTATGTTGGACTTCTGAGAATGCATGCGACAGTTAAATAGAGACTTGAGTAATCAATTTGTAAATTGACAGCTCACAGCAAAGGGTATTATGCTGCTACTTATAATATTTACGTATTTGTCGCCTGCCTCCAAATGGAAATCAATGAATTTCCATCTACTTTTCAAGGATATGGATAAATGTGTAGCTGGCTGGCTGGCTGGCTGAGTCGGCAGATACTCCGTAACAAAGTATTTCGAGTGGCAAACAAAACTGGACATTTGCATCAGAGGGCAGGGTGGTTTTAGGGTGGGCCAGGCAGCTAAGGCGCTAAGCCTTATCTGCGCACGGGCAGGCTGGGCGAATAACTAACCCACTCAATAGCTGGGCGCCAGCACGTGAAGTTGAAACTATTATCGATTGGCAAAGTTCGCACATTGCCTACATTTGGGCGCCCCAGGCACATCGGAAAGGTGTTCTATTTATTGGCTGTCTCGGGTCATTGCACCCGACTGCAGTGCTGCACGTGCTTGGCTGGATATTTAAGTGTTGTAGATGTTTGCTAAGGCTGATCTGCAGTTAGGTGAATATCGTGTTCATATATTCGGCATAGTTGGGGGAATTACGATGACTCGTCTTCCTCGCTAGCATCGGAGCTGCTTAGCTGCAGGTCGGACCAGAGCGTTGAGTCGACCACTGCAGCAGACTCAGGGGCCGCTGCAGCTGCATCGAGCTGCTCCTCCATGTTGACCTCCTCGGGGTTAGTTTGCGGCGAGGCGTCTTCAGGCAGCTGCCAAGGCTGCATAGGTGAGCTGGTTGCGCCGGTGGGCACATTCTCTTCGTCTATCTGCTCCACTGGCTGGAAGTTCTGATATTCGACGTCCTGTGGCTCGGGCTGGTTGTCGACGTAGAGCTGCGATTCATTGTGCTCGTCGTCGGACGAGTGCGAGGACTGCTCTCGCTCGGGTGACTCCTCTTCCTGAGTCACCTGCTCCTGCGCCTGCGCCTGAGTGTGCTCCTTCATTTGACTGTAGTACTTCTGCTGCTCCTTTCTGCGTTCTTCTCGCGTTTTGTCAACTTTGCGGCCTCTCATTAGCTTCTGCTTGAGCCTGTTGGCGGTCGCATCGAACGCGTCGATCAGGCCCCGGGCGCGGGTTTCCTTGTCTCTGGAGTAGGACTTGAGACAGTGATCCACGCTGCTCTCCGCCCTCTTGAGGGCGAAGAGCACCTCAGTGATGTCGCGTTTGTCCAGTTTGACGTGCGACTCGGCCTCCTCCTGCGCCTTACTGGCGTCGAGCTCGTGCGACCAGTGGCAGTTCGAGTAGCGCTGATGCGGGTCTTGGTCGCAGGTCTTGTGAAAGAGCTCGTGGAAGGCCTTGATCTGGTTGTCGAAGTTCTTGAAGATGCCCGTCACCTCGAAGCGGAACTCCTCGATGGTCTTGAAGTAGAATCTGTCCACCTTCTGCGAAAGGTAGTCGAACTTGGCATTGAAGTACTTGCAAATGCTTTGGTCGTCCTCCTTGGCGACGGCTGCCTGCAGCTTGGCCAGGTGCTCCTGGCACTGCCGCTGAACGATTTCGGACGCCTTCTCGTAGCCATGCTGCCGGCCCGACGAGCGCGGGTCCTTGGTGCTGGGCTTCTCCTCGCCCTTGGGCATCTTGTTGAGCACCCGATGGAAGAACTTCTCCAGCTTCTGGCAGTTGCGGTAAACCACATCCCCAGGCCGATTGAAGGTGAAGCAGTTGCTGATGACCAAGCGGAAGTCACAGATTAGGTCGTCCACGCGATGATAGTAGCGATTCTGCACGCGCTTGATGATGGTGCCCACGTCCATCGGGCGCTTGATGATGGTGTAGTAGTTGGGCACCTGCAGCGCCGCTGTGTCCACGGGCTCCATGAAGTCCATGGCGAACTTCTTGGCGACCAGCTCGTCCAGCAAATACTTGCGCAGATAATGTATCTTATTGGTATAGAGCCCCGCCTCGCCGGGCTGCGGCATCACCTCCGGCTGCACGCGAGTCGGCAGCTTGATCTTAAGCTTCAGCGGCTTGTGGCTCTCCTTGCGAACAGAAACAGATTTGCAGAGACTTGAAGCATTGCATGTGACTGCACTTACCATAGCTCCCGGATTCTGAGACGACACACGATACTTTCAGCAGGCAACAGAGATCGTCTTGACTGAATCGCACCGAATTCCAAATCATCTAGCAGCTAACTCACTGATTGCTTGACTGTGCCAACTGTGCCTAGGCCAACTCCAGAGTGCCGATAAGCTCTATCAGCGACTCAGTCGTTGACATATTCGAACTCCGCTTGCAGTAATTCCAACGAGCAATGAAAAGATGTAGACAGAGAGCCGCAGAGCTGGAGAGTCGGAGAATATTGGGTAAATAGAAGCTTTGCTATGCTTGCAGCGATAGTTGCAGTAGCGATAGTTGGATAGTGTTAGCAGCGATACTAATCGCTTCTAGTAGCGATATTTGGCAAGGCAAGGCCTGTTCAAACTTCGAACTGACAGTTCACTAAACAACAGCAAAGCAACAGAGATGTTTAGTTTCTCTAAAATTGATCTAATTAGTTACGCAGAGCTTGGGAATATTGGAATATCGTAAGAGAGCGCTGGAGGCTAGGAGCGCCATGTGCAAGGCCTTTGAGTCGCATTGAGTCCTGTCAAGCAGCCAAGCAGTTGCCACCCATCCACACGGAGCGGGGCATTCACAAAGTTCAAGTCTCACTAGCCAGTGGGCCGCGGCCATGCCGTCGCTTACCGATACTGACGGTCTCTCTAGCTGGCTAGTTTTGCGGCTACAGGACTCCTACAGGATATCCACTTATATGTTGCTCTATGGAGTATTTTTGTTGGACGCCAATTTTGTCGAGTCTGGATTTTTATACTGGTAGCTGCTCAGACTGTTGCTTGGAGCTGACCTCGTCTGGCATTCGCAGACGCAAGCGAATCTATCGGAATCATTCGACTCAAATTTTCTGTAGATTAAAGATTCAATGTGAAGGTTATTAAATATTTCATTAAATTGCCTATTGATTAATGCGATGCGTTCACTTTGCTTTGGCCAACTTTTACATAGAGTTGTAATCGCGGCGCAGTTGGCCAAATCACAACATGCATTGCTTAATAATATACCTCGGAGCTGGGCTAAGCTTCGGCAACTACAATAACAACGATTAAAGCGCTTGAGTCTGGGGTGCGGCGGGTTGTTGTGTTCTCTGCAATTACATGACAGCAGCGATAGCAGAAATTGCAAAAACGACAACAACAACAACAACAGCAGCAGCAAGAGCATTACGAATTACGATAATAATTTCCATTTCTAATTTCCTCACCATGCCAAAGGACTTTGCAGTTGCCAACTAGCAGGCGGACCTGCTGCTGCTGTTGCTGGCTTTGGCGTTGGCGTTGGCGTTGGCGTTGGTGCCGCCGCCTTCACCGCCTTCTTGTCCATGTTTCCGGTAGCAACAGCAACAAGCAATAACCCCAATAGTACAAACAACAACAGCAGCAAAAGTGGAAGGACGCGCCAGACGTTGGCATAATTCCAGAACTGCAGAAATCTAACAAAATGCAAATGCAATCATTGATTTTTCAGCTTATAAACGAAATGGGCATCGTATGTATTTGTTTGTACAGAACATTGGCCCAATTGTCCCCTTTATACGAACTATCACAAGGCCTACAACAACGTCGACAGTTATTATTAGGGTATTCTTGTAAAATCGAAAATAATGTAATAAATATACAATGCAATATTTAACAATTATAGTGTTGATTTTAAGCAACATCATATATTTTTTATTAGTTATGTTCGTACAGACAATTCTCTAGCTCTTTCCATCCTTTATATAGTTTGTCTAGCACATCCCTACACCATCCAGACTGCATCACTTCGTCTACTCAACTAAATTCTAGTTGCACTCTGCAGCCTTATTTATACTGCTGGCTCTTATATTTGCGATCATACATGCATGATCCTCATACGCAGCACATCCATATGTATGCATTGCACCATCTTCACAGGCTCAACTAAAACCCATTTGCTGGCTCTTCAGTTGTCGTGCATACATGCATGATCTCTAGTGGGCACCGCACCGCTTTAAAGGCTTAACTAAAATGTATTCATAGTGAGCAGCTTTATTTATACAGCTGGTTCTTTTGCTCAGTGCTTTCATTCCTGATCTGCATTTTAAACTGAAAGACTGGTTCGAATTGCTGCTATTGGTTTTTCTACTTTCGAGCTCATACACATCAAGAGGTTCTCATATTTTCACACGTTCATACACGCAAAGCGTTTGCAATCTCTGCAAATGTTAACGGTCTGTTCTGTTTAGTAATAATGAATATATGAATAATAACAATTTCCTTTATTAAAGATTGAAAAACATTGGCACGTTTATGTGTAGAGTTGTCTAAGCTGCGAAAAGTATTTTAGTATTTTTCAGATAATCGTTTTAAAAAGTGGCAAACGCTTTATCTTGATAATAGTTAGGGTATCTGATTGTTTATACGCTTTTTTATGCAACTACTTTAGTTCAATCTCAACTTTCGCTTGACAATTTTAGCTTGAGTGTGTGTGTCGTGGCAGCACTTGGCTAAACTGCGCACCCGAAATGAGGTGTGTGCTGGGCTCCACCGATTGAAGTTGGCTTTGTGATGAAGTTAAGCGTGCGCTGACAGAACTGACTGAACTGAAGGGTAACAAAATTCTTTTTATGCTGCCTCTTGTGGCTGCACATCATGCCCACACGCCTACATTGCTGTTACTGGTGGCGGTGCTGCTTCTGCTGCTACTGCCACTGTTGTTGTTGTTGTTTTTGTAATTTGATAATGCATTTGATTAAGGAAATGAAATTTTTATTAAGGCTGTTTGCTTATTCGCTCGCTGGCAGCTCGCGTCGCTTTTATGTTTACCCTGCAAGGGTATGGGTCTGCGTGTATATGTGTGTGTGCGTGTGGGTGTATTGCCATTTTGTTGCCTGTTCCGTTTTGTTTGCCATATTCCACACTTTTCTCATGTCCCACCTGCCGAGCCGCCCCCAAGCTCTACATTTTTGTTTTCGCATAATTTCTTTGAGTGCGGTTGGATCTCTGCGATTTTACGATGCGACCGCCCCAGCCCCGACGCCCCTCAAAGGTGGGCAAAGCCTGTAGTCCCCGCATGGGAATGGAGTTTGGTTAGCGGGCAACTGTTAGAGCTGTGTACGTAACCGTTACTTGATTTTGCACCGTTTCACTATTGTGTTCGTTTTTATACTATTCGCCATACGCCGAACACCCACTGCCCTGCTCTACGCCTCCAGCATTGGCAAGCAACTGTTTTCACAATCCCTCTGCATTTTATGTTTTGTTTATTTTTTATTTTTATTTTTTTATCAAATTTGCATTTGCTTCGGGTAAATAAATAATTTAATTTTTCACACAGTGGGCAAATGCAAATTGAGCTTTGCTATAGTATTGGAAAGAAATAGCGTAAGATAAAATGCATATTAATCGCGCTTTCCATAAGCTTAACATTTAATTAACCGTTATGCCAAACCAAAACTGAAAGCATGTACATATATGTGTGTATGTGTATGCTGCTTAATCTGATACACGTGCAGCATCGCATTACAAATTTAAAATGTGATTCTTAATTTAATCACAGCTTATTTGCCTCTTCATGCAATTCATCTGTCGTTTCGCTTTGCTCAATTCGCATTGTTTGGCAAGTTGTCAGCACGCCTATGGAATAACGGAATAACGGAGTTTCTTTTCGACACCAAGCGCAAAACCAGAAAACAAAAACAAACTACAACAAGCCCTAGCCCTAAGCCTTCGTGCGCTAACTAAGTGCGCTCATTCAACTCCAAAAACAAACTTTTGCTATTGTTATTACATTTTGTTTTCATTTTTTCTCTCCCGTAAGGGTTGTCGGTCATTGACTTTCTCTCAACTTCTGCTTGACATTTAACGAGCAAAACAAGGAACAACAAAAAAACTGTAATAACAGCGGCGAATGTAATTTTAACATGTTAAGTGTTAGAATGAAGCCTACTTTGAGCACTAGAGCCGTAGGCCGACCGCGCGCCCGCTCGCTCTCGCGCTGTCCTCCTCTAGCCTAGCTAACGTTTCAGTTCAGTTCATAGCAGCGGCAGCTTTCGCTGTCCTGTTGCTATTCACGTTGTTGTGCTTCTCGTTGTTGTTGTTGTTGTAAGTGTGTTCGGGGCTTGCATTGTTTTTGTTGCGTTAGCGTTGCTGTTGTGCCAGCCCCAGACATTGTCCCCCGACAACAAAAGCCGTGTTGATGTTGTTCTTGCCAAGACCGAGATCCACTGTCAAGTCCCGCTACCCGGTGCGGTTGCACGACTTAAAGCATCCACCAAAAAATTTAAAATTTAACATAAATCTGTTGAGGCAACTGCATGGTAAAGCAACCCAAGCCCTTCAATAGCTAATATTAAGTAAATGAAGAGAAAGAGAGAGGGAAACAGGGAGATAATAGACCTGCTATTCTGTTATTATGTTGCCCAGTTTCAAAAGTATGCAATGAAAAATGTAGCTAGAATCAAGTAACTCACAATTCTGATACAGTTTAACATTTGGTACTTCAAACTTGTTGCATCTCAGTCTTAGCACGTGCGCCACAGCTGGGAGGCCGACAATAACAAACATCGCATACTACAATAAATTCCTGTAATTACATATTTAGTAGAGTATACCAAGTATTTTCTCTTATTCTATACTGGGAAATACTTGTACATCAATCTTATACCAGCTTGTGCTACCCCTTCGATATGTTTCAGGTCCTGTTCGAATCGATCATGTTCGCTGCTACTCCTGCAACACGACTTAACATTATGTTGTTCTCGCAACATGTGTGTTATGCGCGCTCTCTCTCTCTCAAACGTTGACCACGCTCTCTCAAACATGTATTATCCAGCCTCTCTCAAACATGTGCTCTCCAAACGCGCACGCACAAATGTCTGTATGTCAAATTCGTTGCTGAAATCCTTAAGTTTTTTGGCTTTTCAAGCGTCATCAAATTTGCCGACGGTGAAACATGAAAAATTGAAAAGTTGAAAAATCTAACAGCAAGGACCTTCGGGACGTTCACAAATTTGCTTTGCGTGCGCTGCGGACCTACCACAAATTCACTCATTTCGTGTAGACAATGGGCCAAAATTATAAGCGCGCACGCTGCTTGTTAAAATTACGCGATATTTTTAAGTGTGTGCGTGTGTGTCAGTGTGTCTGTGTGATTGTTGGGCTCTGCAATCAAAGCCGGATTAAAATTGTCTGATTTTGTTTGAAAACGGGGGCAGGCGTGAAGGCAAAGGTGTGTGTGTGTGTTTATGTGTGTGTGTGCCGTTGGGATCATTGTTTTGTGGTTGGCACTAGCCTGGACAACGGAAACAGGAAGTGGCGCTGTATGCAGCGGATATTGCAAATTATTAACCTTTTGCTACAATTTTGTTTGCGCTGGCAGCTGCGAATTGTGCAGCCCTAGCCGTATGCCGGATATGTGCCGCAGCCCTCGTAAAGCTTTCTACGTTTGTGTGGCTCTGCCTTGGCAGAGCTGTACAAAATCCTTTGCGGTTGCCAGCACCAGCACCTGGCCGTCTGGCCATCGGGCCATCTGGCCACCTGCGCCACCTGTGCCACTTGCCTGACCGGGCAGCTGAATGTAGATGCCGCTGCCGGCAGCCAAAACGATTTATAAACGATTCGCCAAACTTCACTGCAGTGCGACCTTTGGGCTTTGCGGCTATTCCCTGTACTCATTGCCAACCCGCAAAACTTTTGTGGCCAAGTGTTAAGTGAATTTTTTGTTGTCCATGTTGTTGCTGCTGTAGTCCTTGTTAGTATTGACGTCGTCGTCGTCGCCGTCGTCGCCGTTGTCGTTGTTGTTGTCAGCTTTTAAGGTCAAATATTTGCTAATGAGTTTTGTTCGCCATTTCCATTCGACAGCATCAAATTTTGTAGCCCTTTTCGAAAATTAACACACATCTAAATATATATAGATATATTTATATATATGTGTATGTGTATGTGTATGTGAGCACATACATTATTTAGTTATGTAAATGGAGATTGGGACAATTTGAAAAGTTTCTGTTGGTATAATGTAAATTTGATGCCCTTTTACAGTCAACTTACGAACATTGTTTGCTTGAAAACACAATGGAAACATGATAAGATAGAACCACTTTTAAATGGCACACAAAAAAGGTTAAATTCTGTAAATACAAAGGATCATATATATCATTCACAGTTATTACAACCAGTCGTAGTCTTCTAGTCGGGATTGCTCGACTGGGAGATACCGTGAGCACAGCTGCTGTTCCAGGCGGACAACGCTTCTGGCACACATACATCACCAACAGCTCACACATACACACAGACACTCATATGTAAAATTCCTTGACTCTAGAGCAGACAGTTAGAATGACCAGCTCGTTGTTCTGATCAAGAATTTATGCAATTTGTGGGGTCTGTCGAGTCTTCTTCTTTTCGCCTGTTACATACACTGGCCCAAAAACATTATACTCCCAGTTTCACAGCGTTGTAAGCACACACACACATGTACACACACACATGAGTTGCGTATTAAAACACATAAATTTCGTTAGGTTTTTTAAAAGCCCTTAGCCATGGGCTCTCGTCAGTCAGGTAATGTCAAGTGATGCATAATATTTATGCTTGATAAGTACTTCTGTTACATAGTCAGCACATCGAGTTATGTGGATTAATAAGCCCTTAAATAGTCGACCTTAAAAGGTTTCTGCGTTGATATCGCTGCAGCTTAATTAAATATAAAATCAAATGCAGCCCGAATATTATTTCCTGCGTGTGATTAAAAGGTATTATTTGATTGTGTTTTATTTAAATTATGCAAATTTGTTACAACGAGCCGTCAAAACAAGTAAACCTAATTAGCCAACAATGTACAGGCCATAAAAAGCGCCCGAACGAGTAATAAAAATAAAAATAAAAATGAAATTGAAATAATATTCAGGCGGGCAAATGTAAAACAAAAAGTGATTTAATTTAATTACACAGCGCAAACTATTAAGTGTGTGTAAATGAAATCCCTGTCCCTCTATATATTTATTATTTCAATATATATTTAATGAGAATATGGCAATATATATTTGTTGTGAACGTTCGCGGAAATTGATAGCCACAAGCTGCGGGTCAAGCCACTCCACACAGCAGAACCGCAAACAGACCAAAAGACGAAAGCCAAATGGTATCCTCCAACATACACACACACACACACACACACACACACATAGATTGTGGGCTTGTGGCCATGGGGCGGACTCCGTAGCGCATGGACAATGCAAATTGAATTCCAATGACGAGATATCATTGATGCGTGGCTGAAATTTGCAATTCGTGTTTTGCCGCTCAAGCGGAAACAATCACAAAGCAACAACAAAAAACTTACGCTGCCAGCCATACGCACACACGCATAGATGGACCGACTGGAAGGCAGCAATTGCAATGCCACTGGGTCTCTCTCTCTCACTCTCTCTTTCTCTCGCTCTCTCCCTACGCAGAGCTGCCTCAAAGTGGTCAATATAATAAAACGCATCGATAAACTATATAGTCATTAACCAATATCGTTGCATATTATGCAATAATCCGATTTTACACGATTTAATTCTGCTGATTGTTGCATAATGTCTAAAAAACTAAATCGATGTTCAGTTATAATTTTTTTGATACTTTCAATAAATTGATTCGTAATCTGAATTATATAAATTTTATTGTTATACTCTAAGCTCATTGAAGAGGATAAACAGTGCATGGAATGGGTCCATTGAAAATGGAATCTGAAGGCAAAGCGAGGCATGAGTCGAGCTCATAAAAAGAATTCTTCCAACCGACCTGTCTGTTTGAATGTCCATTCTGCTGTCCATATATCTCGCAACCGAAGAGAGAACCTCTGGAGCCTCTATAGTTGGTTGCTCTACAGCATGTGCACGACTTGTTTATTTGAAGTCATCAATAAATTTTTGCATTTACATAAAATTGAAAAAGAGTGTTTAATTTCTTAGCTTCACATTTCTTTTCACTTGCAATGCAATGCCAAGTTTATAGAAGTTCAATGTATTCTGTATTAAACTATGCTAGAACCAATAGGAAACCCATGAACTGCTTAGAGCATGTCGAATCACAAACAAGAAAGCACAATAAAAAAACACTTGAGATGAATTTTTATTTATTTATATTTATGCAGAAGAACACGAAGCACTAAATAGCAAAAGACCACGCAGAGCCAAACGGCGTCTATATTTTTTATTTTTATTTTTTCTTTGCTTGTCTCAACGGCAGCAACTGATCAGACAACTCACCAAGGTAAATACTGAATGTTGAAATTAAAGAAATACTAAAAGGTCTATAGTTGGCAGTATTACTTCCTACTACTAGAAAGTAGATACTCTCTATCCAGCTCAGGCTGTCTTTACAGATATTCTAACTTATTTTAAAGATACTTGTACTCAAGACAGTCCAAAGGATTGGCTACACTGGAATTTGCAGTCGTTTTATCTGCAGCCTGGCACCGACACCTAATGTCTACTGTCTACTGTCTGCCCAAAGCAAAGGGAGAGCTGCAAATAGCTTGCGGTTCACATATCGAACTCTTTTGCAGTCATTCATTTTCAATTGTGAACAGAACTAAGAATGATTCTCACATCTCAGTCATGTTTATAAAGTGGCAGCATGGCTGCATAACCTGTTGGATATTGGCCATGATTGCGGCCATCTCAGTCCATGCCAATGTCTACAAAGGTAAGTGAAGCCATTTTCAGGTGCAATGCTGATGACGTTTAATCAAAGTTCAGAGGGGACAGCTTGAGCTATCTATTAATTAGTTCAGTATTTTAAGTTGCTTATCATAACCTTTTATTCAATATAATTGAGCTGATGAATAACTGAAATGTTAAGTAAAGGTTATTATAATACTGTACATTATTACAATGTATATTCTATATAAAAACAATCATTCGGGAATGCCATATGGCAAATGCTTTGTTTCAAAACAGTTAAAGCACTTTATGCTCCGCTCACAATTCTAATATGACGAAGCACAAAAAACTGGGTGGCAACCGGTTTAGAGAGAGTAAGATGAAAAGAAAGAGCCACAGAGAGGAAAGCAAAGCAACACATAAAAACACCTGTAGAAACCTCGGATAATTTAATATGTAAACAGACGTCGCACGAGACAGTTCGAGACCAGAACGCCAGACCAGAGTCATGCACACAGTTTTGATCGCTTTGTTGTTATTCGCGTCAACGAACGAGATTCAAGCGCGGGAGGCAATGAAGCCAGCAGAAGAAGTGGGTCAAATAATCAGAGATCTTGAGGGAATACATGTGGGTCAGCAAGGTAAGTGCAGATGTAAATCCGAATATAAGATGCATTCTGCATGCCCTCTTTTTCCAACCTGTTATACAGACTCCCATGTTCGTTAGCTTTGAGTTTTGGCTTGTCTTTGTATTTGTTTTATTTTAATTTGTCTTATCTTATCGCAGACGCGCCTTGCACACTGGACATTCAGAACGATTTGCCACACTCCAATTTGCAGCCGCTTTACCTGCATCCAAATACGGACAGCTACTGGCTGCCCACTGCCAAGGGAGAGCTGCAGATACCACGTGGCGCCAACATCGAACTCTATTGCACTCACTCATTTTCCATTGGTAACAGCGATGGGAGCTATTCACATAATCCATCCATACATGTTCGCTGTCTACACGACAAAACCTTTGATTGGGAAGGTGGCAAATGGGAGTTGGGCGATTTTACTTGCGCCAAGCCACTGACGTATACTGTGGAGCGCATGAACCAGTCCTGCGGGGATGGAGATGTGGCGTCGCATGGGCGCGTATATCGTGTGGGCTACAATATCAGCGCGGGTCGATTTGTGCGGACCATTGAGCTGTGCCACGATGCGGATCAGCTGCGAACGCACTACGCTTCCTACCAATTGGTCCCGGCCAATGCGCTCTTTCAGAGACAAGTTAAACGCGTTAAGTTCAGCTCCGCTGGCCACTTCTCTGGCTACGATATGAACGATCTCTATTCACAGAAAAACCAACTGAAACAGGTGGCGAAACTAGTTAAACAACCCATTGCCTCTGCGCACGTGTCCAGTTTCCTGAAAGAGGGACAGTACCTCACACGCGGACACCTGGCTTCGAAGGCAGATTTCATTTATGCCAGCCAGCAGCGCTCCAGCTTCAACTACCTGAATGTGGCGCCGCAATGGCAAAGATTCAATAATGGCCATTGGCAAATTGTAGAGGACAAAATGCGTCAGCTTGTGGCTCGCCTAGATCTCTCAGTGACTGTCTATACGGGCACCTATGGTGTCATGCCAGTTCAGCAGAGCGGAGCTGCTGGCTTCCATTTGGCCACTGATGCTGAGGGCGAAGGCTTGCTACCCGTTCCGCGTCTCTACTATCGCGTGCTCATAGATAATCAAAATCGAAGTCGTGGTCTGGCCCTCGTAGGTGTCAACAATCCCCATGCTACGCTGAGCGAGATCGAGGACTCATACATTATATGTCCGCCTGTGGACGTGCACCATGTGCGCTTACTTCTTCGCTGGCTGCAGGCGGAAGATCTTAAAAAAGGTTATCTGTATGCGTGCCGTGTTGCAGATTTGGCTAAGGCCGTAGGGCATTTGCCGCCTCAGTTGGAAGATGTAAACGAGCTGATTGAGTCATAAAATCTTGAATTTAAATCATGGCCATGCCTTGGACAAAAGTCCATGAAGAACTGAGACATTCGCAAAGCTGGATAATCTTAAACAATCTTACATTTTCTTTTTTATTTATATTTATACATAATATTATAAGTAGTGCCATCATAGCAAACTCTTTGTATTTCCACTTTAAAGCCAAGAGGTATGCACACAGCAGCTCTTTGTTTCCCAGTCGCCTCGTAAGAGCAGCAAATAATTATAATTATAATTATAATTTATGGTATAACTATTTGTTTTAATTCTTGTCAGTTCAAATTATATTATA